ATTTAAAGTCATTGTTGTGTAAAGCATCAAACAGACATTACAAAAAGTAGCTTCAGCAAGAAATATTTTGTTTGATAAAATGTATTACATATACTCTTTTGGACCATGAGGGTGAGTAAATGATGACACAATTGTAATTTTTGGGTGGGTGAACTATACCTTTAATAATTAATTTTATTATTTTTATTATTATTATTATGGAAATATGAAATTATTTCTTTAATGAAATGATACTCTAAATAATAAATTAAAGTTGCCAGTAGGTGGTGGTAAATGTCTTGATGATTAAGTCATTGAGTCATTTGTTCATCCATTTGATTTGTTCAAATGGCTGATTCATTCAGGAGTGAAGTAAATGGTTCTTTATGAATGGTCCTTTGAATCATTAGGCTTGTTCGACTCGAAGCGGATAATCACCATCAGATTATTATTACACACCATCGGTGTGTGACATCAAAGTACTGCAAGAACTATAGAGAGCAGATGGCTCTGTATGCTTTTGAATCGCTCTCGTGGTACTTTGATGTCATACACAGATCGGTCTGTGCAGCGTCGCTTCAAATCCAACGCGCCTATGGCCAATGGTTCAACGTGCCTAATGATTCACCCAATTCATTCATTCGTGCATTAAAGGGGTCATATGATGCGATTTCAAGTTTTCCTTTCTCGTTGCTCGGAGATGAACAGTTCTGCTTTGTCTTTATATTTTCGTTGGCAAAATTGAGCAAAACAGACAACATTGTGTCTAAAATAACACAATATTAACTTCTTACTTACTGAACTGTTGTATAAGATCAGGATCACATTTGCACTCGTGTGATATCGCTTAACTATATGACATAAATATGAGACAAAAACTCAAACAGGGGCATTTTTGCCCCATATCTTGAATTTTAGGGACATTCTAACAATGTTCTCTAGGCTCCATCACGCAGTGAGTTGTTGCCCTGCCTCATATTTGTCATCAAATAAATCAACTTTATGAAATGTCAGATGACCCATGTAGGTCTGGGGCGGGGCAAGTGTGTTAAATGCGTTAATAATTTTAACGTGTTATTTTTCACCGTAATTAATTAATCTAATTAACGCGTTAAATTACCAGCCCTATTAATTACATTTATTAATGACATTCTTTTGTATTATATATTTTATTTTATTTATTTTATTTTATTAACTTGCAGGGTGAAGTGTGACCTGGCCATGCTTTTGTGAGATTCCTCCACATATATATATATCTATCTGTTATATTTATCTTCTACTTTACACATGAAAATGAATGTGGATTTTACCATATGGGTTTCAATGATGTGGCATTTCATATTAGCAAATACACCAGCAGCATTTCAGCTTTTTGAGGAAGGATAGTTGATGCATTGAGGATTGAGGATGCATTTGGAATTCTCTTCTCTGGAGCCGAGCTTGTGTAATCTCATTTTGTGTGTGCGTGTGCGTGCTGGGTTGATGACAGAGATGAAGTATCTACTGTAGCTGATATGATCACCGCTGTGGTCTGATAGGATTAAACGCTGTTCAGCTACACTGTTTACGAGGGTTTTCACCACGAACGTGTGCGTGTGTGTTTATAAGTATCTGGCTGTGTGTGTGCAGAATGTGCAAGAAGGAAGGAGACAAAGGTGGGTTGCTCTGAAAGAGAGCGAGAGAGAGGAAGTATAAATATAAATACACACACACACACACACACACATACATATATATAGTAAACATTTAAATTGAGCTGAAGCCTAAGACTAAAAGGGCATGATATATAGTATATGTCTATATAAATATTTATTTATATGCATTCATTAATATTTATTTATTTATTCTTGCATTCAGAATCTCAAAGGTCATGTATGCACTATGAACAGGCCTGGTGTTTCTTTGAATGTGTATTAATAGTACTTATCTTGGAAAGGACCAGATAAAGACAGAACAAGACACTGACACACATACACACAGATCTGGCATTTGGCCAATGAGGCGGAAAAAAGCTAATTAGCCAAGCAGTCTTCTTAAACAACCCTCAATTAAATCAGCTGTCCATGCAGACACTGCTTCAGCCGGACCAGTGCCTGATTTGTGTAGCCTGTCTGTTCTCTGGCATGAGCCGCCATTCGTTCTCCTGGCTATGTCCCAACTCTACTAAATATCTGCGCTTTCACACATACACAAAGACTGGCCACTTCTTCAGCACAAATGTCAATTGGATTGCAGTTTGGTGCAAGTGTTCAGTACGAGGCTGTTCATTAGTTCTGCTGCCTTTAACAATGAGACCATGTTATGCTTAAACACAGGAATCTGACAGGCTTTATGGTCAGGATGAGGCTCACTGCAGTGAAGGAATGATACAGAGAGGAAGTAATTAGATAATGGAGGACAGGTGCAAGATATTAAGAGTTGAAGAAGGAGAAAGGCTATGTTCACACCTAAAAGTGTCTAATGTAGACGTTCTAATTGACACTAATCTAATTGAGATTGAGTAAAATCTCAGTGGTCTGATGCTCCTTAACATAACATCGTAAACACGTCATATTATTACTTGATTGCATATTTTGATATTACATGAAATAATGTGCATAAACATTAACCTTTTAACTTGTATCATTACTGTATAATACATCAGTATATCTGGTAATATAGATTTAATGCATCAGTATATATTTTAAACAAGTCTATTTTGCAACTCTCTGTGTAATACTTCATAGTGCAGTTTACGGAATACTTAAATATTTTACACATTATGAAATTGTGCAATGTTTTAATATTTAATTTAATATTTACTTTTACTTCAATTTAATATTTTATAATATATTATATGAAATAAAAAATGTTGCCGTGATTTTGCACTTTGTTTACTCTTGAAGTGAATAAAAAATTATATATTTATTATGATTATTAATTTAATATGATTGCATATTTTGATATGCAATTAGAAATCTAATATGCATTAGCATTAACTTTTTAATTTGTATTGTTGCTATGTATCAAATACATCAATGTACTGAATGTTTTAAATATTAAATATTAATTTTTACAGATTTTCTGTTTTAGTACACACAAATAGAGAATGTAACCAAAAATATCTACACCAAGACTCTCACATTCAATTAAATATTTTATAAAACATTAAATTGAATATCAATTTCAGGTTACACTTTATTTTAAGGTGTCCTTGTTACATTGTAATTATACATTTAAGTACTGAGTAATATTAATTAACTACATGTACTTACTATATGGATAGGGTTATGATTAGGGTTTGGCTAAGGGTTACTTGCATGTAGTTATGCATAATTAATTGTTATTTTAATAGTAAGTACATGTAACGTGTAACAAAGACACCTTAAAATAAAGTGTTACTGTTAGATTGATATAGAAATTGGATGAGTCAGTATATGTTGTATTTTTTACTTGAATTGTCAGACTTATGCCGAGTTCACACTGCATGATTTTAGCCCGATTTTTCACTCGCCGACAGGTTTTGCGAAATCGCCGACAAATGCCCGTTTTTTTATGTCAGCAGGTTGAAGCGACCCCAATAACGTGATATTTAGGCCCTGGAATGTGAATTGTACCAGGAGAACCCCGCCAAAAAAAATTTATTTTACCCCCCCGAACGCGATTTTTTTACTGGGGGACCCCCTCGAAAGCAATTGGGCTATTTTCAGGCTAGTTTTGAGTAGTAATTGGGCGGGTTTTGTAGCGAAAACCTGGCAACCCTGCACCAGACAGAGCTGTCGGCGATTCTTCCTATTGTGAAGTCATGCAATGTGAAACCCCCTGTCGCCGATCCATCCTGCAGTGTGAACACAGCAGCAACTGAATGCTACCCCAGATAGTCACGCAGTGTGAAAACAATGGCGATCCGACAAGTTTGAAAATCGTGCAGTGTGAACTCGGCATTAGTGTGTGTGTGTGTGTGTGTGTGTGTGTGTGTGTGATTTATGTTCACATTATCATCTAAATAACATATCTGATTATGTGATGGATAAACTGCAATGTAAACGTAGAAGAAAATGAAGAAAAATAAGAAATGTGATGGATAAAACCTGTGAATTATGATGATGATGACAGTAAGGTTAGGACACAGTTAGAGAGCTAGTGTGGAAAAGGATAATGAAACCCAGAGAGTGCCTTTCAGAGGTGTTGTGGGAATTATGTTGTGGCAGGTGTGCAAACTGGACAAAATGAACACTGGCTTGTGTTCTTTTATCTTGAAGCCACAACTCCAATCGTTCACACTCCTCACAAGGTCATTAACGACATCCCTTTTTCCCTTTCTCTCAAGATCTCAAGCATTGTCCCATGTCTCTGGATGTCCATAACTCTGAAGTTATTTGCCCTTATCTGCCCTTTACTGACCTCTCACATCCCCCCTGGCTCCTCAGAGCTCGCATGAACAATGACGTGTCAAAGTCAATTAGGCCTTGATTGATTTCTTCTCACGCGTGTTTGACTGATTCACTTGTTCACATTTTCTCCCAGTGAATGATATAATTGGGATGGAATTGGCTGGAATGAGGCGTACTCAGGGTTTTGTGTAGCTGGAAAAAGGGAAGGTCAAATGAATAACCTTGAAATAGGCTTTTCTAAGTGGTGCCATTGTGATCTATGATACTATATCTTGTGGCTCAAGAGAGAGCACAGGTGGCATGTAACTCTTGATTGTGTATGATTGTGCGATCAAGTTTGTGCGTGAGTTTTAAGGGAATAACTGTTTTGTGTTTATAGAGATATTTTTGTGTCTATACATTTATGTGCAGCATGTGCAGATGCTATAAAATAAATAATAATTGTAAATACCATAATTATGTGTTTCTGGCTAGTAAAATGGTTCACATCTTTGTTAAACTCAAGAATTTGATACAAATTTAGATTTCTCTTACTTTACCTTTGTGACATCATGTAAAAACAACAAAATGGCAGCTTCTTCAACAGTTAAAAAAGTTTTATCATGAGGAGTAACAAGACCTGTTTGACGTGAACGCAGCATTAGTGTATGCTTTTTGTGTGTGTGTGTGTGTGTATATTCGAAGTCCTTCTTCTGTATGTCTGTGTTTACAGTAATAATATGTTTGCATGCATTGTATATTGTTTTATGTGCCATTTCTCATATGCATGTGTGTTTGTATTCCAGACACAGAATGCAGAAGGAGTTCGTGTTCCTGTGAAACACCAGCTGCTGCGGGTCATTGTGCGTGTGCTCCAGTACCGCATGATCCTCACAGGTGAACACTGCGTGATTCAAATATTTAGTCCAGATGATATTTTCCCATATTAATACTTTATCGCATTCAGTTCCTTTTTAAGGAAAGAAGACTAAATAATTTGTGCAGTTTGGTTATTGTTAACTAAAACTAACATTTTGAAAAATAACGTTTTTGAAATAATTTTTTGAAGTTTTTATTAATAAAACTTAAATAAAAAAATGAGTTACAGATTTAACCTTGTTTAAACTAATTGTTTTGGCAACTAACTAAAATAAATAGTGCTGTTAAATGATTAATCGCGATTAATCGCATCCAAAATAAATGTTTTTGTTTACATAATATATGTGTGTGTACTGTGTATATTTATTATGTATATATAAATACACACACATACAGTATATATTTTGAAAATATTTACATGTATTTACAAGCATACATTTATATTCATATAATTTATATTATATATAAATATATTTAATATATAAACATACAATTTTTCTTAAATATATAAATGCATGTGTGTATATTTATATATACATAATAAATATACACTGTACACACACATATATTATGTAAACAAAACTTTTCTTTTGGATGCGATTAATCGCGATTAATCATTTGACAGCACTAAAATAATATAAAAGTAAAGTATTCAAATTACTAAAATGAAAACTGAAATAAAAATATTTAATACATTTATTAAAAAAAATAACTAAAAAATGACAAAGCACATAGAAAAATAACTAAAACTTAAAATTAAATTAAAACTGAAAATCTAAAAATAAAAGCTTATTTAAAAATATTAATAAATATAATAGAAATAATGCAAAAATAACAATTATTGGGTTCTTCATGTGTAAATGTTGGAAGTTCAGGTGTATGCATAAATACTGCATACAGAGATACTGCACAAAGGTGTATTTATGCAACAACAGTCTATATTTATCAAACTGCATCAAAATGTACAGGAAATACAGTAATTAAATAATAAAACTACTTTCTCATCACTTTATTGACATAATCTTACAGTAGGTGTAAAATTGTTGTTTTTGTTGCTGACTTGCAGTCCTGGAATTCACATTTTGATAAATCGTATTTAACTTCTGAGTGATTTGTCACTTAATTACATTTCACCATACAAAGGCTGCCAATGACTTTGAGGATTGGGGTAAAAATGAACTGTAAATAATGTACTGTATGTTGGATCTTGTACATAAAACATAAGACTGTTTGAGTGTGTTTAAACGAGTATGAGATGGTGAAGTAGAAGCTATTTTGTCTCTTAAAAAGTCATTTGGTTTTCATCTCATTTTTTCCAGACTACTTAAACAACCTCTCTCCGGATTCAAAAGAGTATGAAGACACACAAGGTATTGTTTTCTCAGTTTCTCTCTCACACATTGATGACCACTGACCATGCTTGAACTGTGAAAACATTAATTGTGCTTATGACTGCAACTTTTTATCAACAGCTGCGCTGGTAATCGTGTCAGAGGTCGCAGACCAGGTTAATGACAATCTAAAACACGGGGTGAGTTGTTTCTGTGTGTGAGAGAGCGTGTTGTATTGTTGATACATGATAAAAAAGGAGCGAGGGGATATGATGTCATCATAGTGTACCAGGTGTTGAGAAACAAAGAGAGTAGTGTGAAATCAGCCAGACACAGAAGCATCTCCAAACACATACACACAGTCACAGACAGACACAGAAACCTTCTGTTTCTACCCTTATTCATTTCTGAACAGCTCTCCCTTTTTCTCATCCACAAATCAGTTCTATTTCTCATTCTCACTCTTTTATGTCTTTCTATTGCAATCGCAGGAGAACCTGCTTCGTTTGGTCCACATCGACTACAGCGTGAGAGGAAAACGAGACCTCCTTCAACCAGGAAGGGTACATTCAGCTTCATACGCTGTATTTATGGTTTCATGTTTATAGTTTATTACTGTTTTTACTGGCAGTAAAACCTGAAAGATCAGTAACAGTTATTAGACATCAAAGGTTTAAGTGAATAACACCCTTACCCATAAGTCACCTGGCCTCTTGCACCTGTGTGTTTTGCAGGTTTTTGTCAAGGAGGGCACTCTGATGAAGGTCTCTCGGAAAAGCCGGCAGCCCAGACACCTCTTCCTGGTATTTTGTCATGCTTCTCTCTCTACTTGCAGTGTGCTTAATTGCATTAAATGTGCACTTGAAGTGTAATTCAAATCTTCAAGTATATTAAAAAAAAAACTATCCTTGCAGATAATATAATATTAATTAAATATAAATGAAAAAGTCCACTTAAGTGCATTTAAAGCAAGTAAACTTTCATGACTTTTAAAAAGTGCACTTTGTAATAATGTCAGAATAAAAGTTTTGTTAAAGTACATTTTAATAATCATTTCTCATAAGGAAATCATTATATTTTTAACTTTAATGTGTTATTTGATATTACATTTATAGTTCATATATTTTAAACATACTAAATTGCTACTTCATCATTACAAATGTGTAATTACAAATAGACTGAAATACAAGTTTCAATAGAAATGGCATTAAAGTATATTTTAGTTTACCATAAATGCTTGTCAATACATTCGTCAGTGCACTTTGACCATATTTCATATACAGTGAACTATGAAATTACTTTTAAAGATGTACTTAAGTGGGGAAAAAGCACTCTTGCATAGTATTTCCGCATTTACATGGGTTTATTTACATTCCTTAGAACAGGTGGCTTCACAGCCGTTTGGAGCTCACCTGACTTTGTTTGTGTCTGAAAATTATTGATCAAAACAGTTGGCAGAGTGGGACCATTAAGAGCTTCTCTGTGTCTGAGGGCAAGTAGGTGTTGCATTCTGAAAGCTATAGCTGAATTTAGCATAAACTATTTTATTATACAGTTGGTTTTCTCTTTAAATCCAAAAACTGTCATTGCAGGGAAAAGTCTGAATGGAATCTTGCTTGGCAAGTTAGTTAAATTTAGTTAAACTGTCAGTATGTTTAAAGCTAGTTGCTGACACATTCCATTTAATATGAAGGTGCCTATATTGCCCTCTTAGGTACTGAGCAGTTATTGACAGGTATGTGTATTGTTGATATTTGGTCATTCAAAAAGGCAGCCAGTTTCCTAGAGAGTAAGTGAGCTGGTTTATATGTGCCATAACTGTTCAGCAGACACTGGAGGCTACATTAGCTGTAGCACAAGGCTGCCCCCACCGCTCTTTATAGCGCTCTTGTTTTCGAGGGTCGTACTTCCTCTCAGGATGTCTGCTGTAGGTCACTGGATGCCAGCTTCCTGTGCTGGGACTTTACTGACAGCACACTGAAGACTAGGCCCAGAGAACAACAGATCAACAACACTGAGCCACCGCAGCTGAAAAAGAACGCTAAAAACATTAGGCTGAGCGGTCAGTTCAGTTGTTTACCTGAAGTACATTTACTCTGTTACTTCCACTTGGGTGGTTTTCTGAATGCCTTAGTGACAAGATTTGAAGAAGAATGGGCTCTGTGGGCTCTGCCGAGATGTTTTAAATAATGTCAACTTGCACAAAAAAATTTGAGGTCAGTATGATTGTTTTACGATTGTCAGAAATAAAACATTTTTTAAAAATGTATTCAAATAAAAAACAGTCCCCACTCACAAAAAATGCAGCTTTGGTGAGTATGAGACTTCTTTTCAAATGTTACTGACCCCTAACTTTTGAAGAGTAGCCTAGTGTATACAGACCTTTGGGTGGGGAAAGTAATTATTATCTTTATTACTATCCATCTCTTTTTTCCTCCTTTTTCTAAAGTTCTGAGTTACTAGATAAGTAACTTTTTCACATTGGCACATTTTCTCTTAGGTTCAAGGCACAAGGCAGTTTATAGCCTACGCATTTGATTTGACATTGGTCAGACTTGTGCTCGGACAGTTCAGTTTAAACAATGTAATACGCTGTAGTAGTTCCTCATTATGTTACTGGAAAACTGGCACTTGACAAATGGTAAATTTGAACAGTGTATATATACATACAGGAAGCTATTTTCTGATATTGCGACACTCTTGGCTCTGAAGATCCCAGATACTGGAGTCTTTCTTCATCTTCTGTCATCCTCTCCTTTCTGCTGTCTTCTCTCCCTTAATCAATCAATCTCTGACTGGTGTTTTTAAAAAAAAATTTTTTATGAGAACATGTGACTGATGTCACAGAGTCCAGCACTGACTGGTTGTGATATGATGTCAGAGGGTCCCCTAACGATGATTCTTCGAGATCCGGATTTAATTTATGGATTAATAAGTGAATCGCTCAAAAAATCCCGCCAACCAACTATCACTCACACACTGATGCCCAAAGGCCATTTCCTCTGTCAAAACTACCCTTCATTGCCTGTACAAATCTACCACTTCACAGTTAGAGTCAAAGCATGAAATATCTTTGAAGGACTATGGAAAACATGTCATGGAAGTTTAATTCTGTGATTTACACCATGTTGTTATTGTTCACTAAAACTAAAACATTTAAAATCATTTATGTTAATTGAAGTCAATCTGAAATAAACTAAAATATAAATGTTAAATGAAAAACAAATGAATATTAGGAATGTTACCTTGAACTAACTGAAATAAAATAGGTTAAGCTGAAGTACTAAATTACTAAAACTGAAATAAAAAAGTAAAGCTAAATAGAAATAGTAATATATAATGAAATAAAAACAAAATAAAAAATTAGCACATAACAAAATTACAGAAACTTAAATTGAAAACTGAAAATATAAAATTAAAAGCTAATTTAAAATATTAATAAATGCTATAGCAGTATACAAATAATACTACAATAAAAAAATAAAATAAAGAAAATCTGTCCCAGAAATCCCTATAAAAATCATTATCCAATAATCATGAACCACCAGAAAAGTTGTGGTCAAGTTTATTCACCTGAGCTGAATTGGATGGTCACAAATATCATGCAATACTAGTTAAGTAGAGTTGTGTTGACATGTAATCAGGGCCTTGTTTTTTGTGGTTACTGTAATGGTATCAGATCTCTATGGAGGTCTTAGGTTGGACTCTTACCGTAAGTTATTTGTTGTTTTCTCTCTTATTTTTCTTCACCAAGGTCCAGTCTCAAGGGGGACACACACACTAGTTACATGAGAACTGATACATTCTCAGCTGTTTGAGGATTGTTGTGGCAGTTGTTGTTGATGTTTTTGTTGTCTCTGTCCTGCTGCCTCCACCCAAAAAGGCTTTCTCAGGAGCGTCCAGGCTGAATTCCTGGACCCGTCCTGTGAACTGAGGATGTTTGGGGCACGCACATTGCATGTCTCATGATGTCACCACTTTTGTTTGGAGCTATATATGTCGAGCAAACACAATGGTTTGAAGTGTAGGGCTAGCCTGTTTTTGGGTGTGAGTTGGTGTTCTTAGCACAACAACTTCATTGTCAGGAATGAAGCAAAGCAGAAAATATCCCATAAACTGTTTTTATCAAGCACAACCTATTGTATTGAACGTGTGAATTGCTTTCTTGGGTACTGAACTGAACGTGCTACACTTGTGGAAGAATGTGCATTGAGCAGAGAGGAAGAAATTAGATCGTGTCAAAACTATTTAAAGCAGTTGTTTTAAAGCAGGGGTCCAGGGCCCACTAGGGGGCCTCAGCAAAGTTCAAGGGGGCCTCAAATTGGCTTAAAAAAATACTGAGTAAAATAATTAACATCATGTACTTACAGGTTTAGTTGCTTGTAATTGTGCAGAATTTACTATTATAAATATTATATATTATTATAAATATCGATTATATATTTTACTACTGTAAAATAAAGTGTTACCGTTATTTTCATCTATGGACACTCCTAATTCTTTTTAAAAATTAAAAAAGGGTGATGGGGACTTGAAATCCAAGTCTGATAACCACTGATTTAAAGCTTATGCTGCCTCCTTGTGGTAGACATAAACATAACAGAAAGCAAGCATCACTATTACTTTGCTCATACTTAATTTTAGGGGTTTAAATAATGTAAATATTATTATTTTTATAGCATATTCAATAGAAATATACTACAATAATAACGAAACTAATAATTATGATTAAATAATGTAAATCTAATCTAAATGGTTTAACTTGGACAGGGATAGAGCAGAAGTGTGCAGACTTAAAAGCTTTTACTGCCTCCTTGTGGTGGAAACAAAAGAAGGAAAGCATCACTATTACTTTTGCTCACATTTAATTTTAGGTTTGAATAATTTAAAGGGGTCATATGATGCTGCTAAAAAGAACATTATTTTGTGTATTTGGTGTAATGAAATGTGTTTATGCGGTTTAAAGTAAAAAAAAACACATTATTTTCCACATACTGTACATTATTGTTTCTCCTCTATGCCCCGCCTTTTTGAAACGCGTCGATTTTTACAAAGCTCATCGGTCTGAAAAAGCGAGGTGTGCTCTGATTGGCCAGATATCCAGTGCGTTGTGATTGGCCGAATACCTCAAGCGTGAGACGGAAATGTTACGCACCTCACCATACTGTTGATGCCGTCTCCCGGAGCGACAAGACAAAAAACATGAAAACCCATTATAAACGAGGCATTCGTTGCATCCAGTAGGGACATAATTATGGATTATAATGACTTATACTGTATTTTTACGCGTTGCGTTGCATTGCATCGCGCCGCGTAAACATAAAACCATGGCTGCATTTGTGATCGGAGAAAT